TTGCCCATTTCTTTGTGGAAAATAGATTTTTTTTTTTTTTTTTTTTTTTTTTTCCTAAGAGGCAGGGAGGAAAGTGTGGCAAGGCACATGGGAGTACTGTTGGCACACAACTGCTTAACCTGCATTCTCCCCACAAAAGCGGGGCAAACCAAGAGAAAGCAGAGCCTACACCAAAGAGCTTGTACACCTTGCTTGAACAGTATGAGACCACTGCTCATCAAGGCAAGAGAGAGTTGTGTTTGCGGTGAAAGAGCACTTAGGGGAAGAACCAGGTAAGGATCCAAAGCTGTCTTTGTTGTGAGGCAAACGTCTGGAGTCACAGCGCCATTCTGTTCTCTGACCCACCTTCTCCATGCTGCCCTGGGGAGCACTGCACTGCCTAAGTGCACTAATTGCACTGCCCAAGAAAGGTCATGGTTTTCTTGCTCGGAATATCCATTTCATATCTAGTGTTTTTTGTGGCAACACAGAGCAGGTTTGTGCAGGCTTCCCTGGTCTCTGCTTCTATACGGCTGAGTAGGAAAGGAACAATGTCAGGGCCAGGGAATGTGTAAATTCTGCTAGGACAAGCCTTGCTTTAGGGACTATTAGCATTAGCAGGCTGCTCTTCTCTACAAGAGATGAAGTGAGATTTGTTACTGGAGACGTGAGACAGGATACTCTTTTTTTTTTCCCCTAGATTAGTGTAAAAGCATGTAGATTTAGGCAGGGAAAAACAGTTAATTGCATTTTGACAAATTTGCTACCGTACTTAGTGAGCAGCATAAAGAACAGAGATCTGTATTAGTCAATGAATTTCTAATGGAGATTTAAAAAGAGGAACATCTTCACCCATGCAATATGTCATTTGACAAAAATGGGCTATCCAGAAAACTAAAAACATAACTAACTACTCTTAGTCTTCTACCTTCTGACTGCTGAGACCAATACCGGTTTCACCATTATTCAAATACTAAGGATTGGAAAGGTTTGAAGGTAAACTCAAGTCAACATTTTTACTTTTTCCAATGCATTAAGAAAAATACCAAAACCTGAAATTAACTCCCAACAGAAAACAAGGGTTTGGTAAGGAAAATGCCAGAGAATTATCTTGTTTTCTGCTATAGCATGTGATCTTTTGGCTGGTTTTCTACCTAGAGCTGAACATACGCCCTGTAAACCTCTTAAGAGCATCAGAACCTCTGGAAGTTGCCACAATTTGCCCATGTCTGGGTTTGAGAGGGCAGAGACCCTTGCAGCAAGAATACAACAGTTCTTCTCTCTTTC